CGAACTATTGGAACGAATCTAAGACTTTAAGGTGGACTTTTCGCTGGCGAAATAGGGGGTACTTGCTGGTATGAAGGGAAGAATTTAAGGAAAATAATTTTGAATCTTATTATTTTATTTTTTATGACCATGAGAAATCTAATACTGCATAAGTGGGGTTTGCGAAGTTTGATAAAGTAAGTCGAGAACTAATTTCTCACGTAACTAGAAACCACAACTTTTACGTTTTTGGGGTAGGTACAAGAAGCACTGGTTCAATAATTTCCGTTATGTGTACAATTTAATACCACTTGACATCACAATTTTGAAATTTTGTGGAAAGTTATAGTAATGAGTTACCCATATTGTCCATTTTCAATCCTGCCCTTTTGCCAACTGTGTACATTTTAATAAATGTAAAAGACTTAAATCCAATGGAAAATTAAATATTTCGGTCAACTCTTTCCTGTACAAAGAGGCGACTTAATTGCAATATTCAATAAAAGGGACATAGATAATGCCTTCTTAAGACACACACATCCTCCAAGTGAAGAGCAATTAGTCCTCTTGCAAATGTGTTTCAAAATTATTCCTTTGAATTAACATACCAACTAAATTACCTATGCTTACCGATATATTCCACCAATCTTTCGTTGGAGCCTCTTGACCAAATACTGCACTTAAAACGTAACTAACAATTTAACTTGTCTTAATGTTTCACAGAAAGTAATATTTTGCATACAAATACAGGTGTATTCGAAACTGAACTTTATGATATCGTGAAAATGGTCATTCTCAAAACGGCTCTCTGTATATAAAGTCAATGCAAGAAGGAATAACTCCAATACAATAACAAACTTTCACTTCTTGATGTAAAAACAATTAAATGTTATGTTCATTGCTTAAATACACACAAGTGCCTCTGGTTATCTATGATATCGATGTATTGGTGTGTTTATGTTAGTCTGAGTAACGGTAATATAACGAGCCTTTGTTGGAAAGTAGTTTTCCTTACAATGATTGTATGGTAGAATTGTTGTATCTCTCCTCCATAATGCAAGTGTGCGACAATACATGTGTGTTACAAACACATATGTCTGCCATGCATGTATTGGACATGCTGGCGAATGTAGAACAACCGGAAATGCAATTCAATTGAATGTAACGTTGCTGACGTCTATACCACCACCATACAAATACCCAGACACGTTTCTTTCCACTTTCTTGCCATTAGATTTGGTTAGCGGAAAAAAATCCTTTTCTATGTGTGGCTAAAATGGTTTGTATGAAAGCGCCGACAGGGAGAGAGAAAGTAAATCCAATTGCTGTTATCGTCGTCCTGTCAAATGATTTTACATAGTTTTTCGACATATGCTCAAGTGTCTGTCACTGATGTGGTCTAATAAACTGCCATTCTCAAATGGCATTTCAATGTGGAATGCATAGCTTTTGGGATACTAAAGTGGAAGTATTGTTGAAGGCTAACGATATGGAGTGCAGCTGAGTGGGAAGATATATAGCAAAGTGTGTAAACTATACGATATTGAAATAAAATGGCAACTTTCTGGTGTTTCCATGTGATTTCCATACAATTTTTATGGGGTAATTGGAGGTGAAGACTTGGATGAATTAATACCTGAGTTTTAAATACAAATTTTGAAAAAGCTAACTGCAGTCTGTAATTTTCTCTTGGGATCAATTAGATTACGCACAAGACAGTATACACACCTTAAAACAAGTAAACCAAGGCCATAGTTGCATTGTAGTGATCATATCATAACCCACACCACTCAAGTATAAATAAAACAATTAAAAAAGCTGTAAGTTTGGTCGGACCGATATTTAAATACCCTCCACCATGGAAACTTTAAAAAAATAAAATTCGTTAAAAACCTTGTTAAAATCTTAAAAATACCGAAAAACGTAATATGCATTGGACAACAATAGTATTTGGTACCAGATATCAGAGAGAGCCCAGAAATACCTGTTTCAAATTTTATCGAGATCGGTTCATATATATCTTCGCGGAAGAAATGTATGCACCGTTTTACTTTTGTTACTACACTGTTTTTATTCATTTAAAATAATTCTTAAGTTCTACTTATGATAATTTTTCTTAACCCAGTCTAGCATAAAGTGTAAGAGAGAGAAAAGGAGAGATACAAATCTACACATGCCTGTGCACCATGCCGCCATAAATTCTAGGGGAGGTCATAAAACATGCGTAGCTATCTCACTTGTGGCAAGCAAACATGCTGCACTTCCTTATCAGTATGAGTTAAGATTTCATCCAGTAATCTAACTCAAACATACCACATGCAGCAATTGAATTATTTATTTCTAACTCAAAGGTCTGTTCACCACATTTTCTTATCTTATATAATATGGGCTGTATTAAAAAGATCCCTGTTTAACAAATCCCTCTCATCTACACTAGTTAGCCCCGCTATTCTCTTTTATTATAAAAACATGTTCACTTATCCGTGAACAAACCGATTTCGGATTAATTGTGCAATTAATGGCCAATATCAGTTCAAATGAACTGAATTTTGGAACGTCTGACCGAATTCAGTCTAGAAGCAAGGACGTCAAATTTGATTCAGATATAGCTATAGCTCTCATATATATGTTTGAGGTTTTAAGTCCCTCACATGCGTAATATGCACTCCACAAGAATGATATTTGGTACCGGACATGTAATGGCTTTTGTCATAAGTCATTACAATATTCAAATCCGAAACTTGAAAAAAAAAAATCGGTGAATAAAGTTGCTAACATAATCAAAATACCGAATATAGATAAGCAGGTACCGTTATATTGAGGCTATACGAAGACGTGGACTTGCTTACGATTTTTTTATCATAGGCTGTAGTATCCTTACGAACTTCACATACGAAATTTTAAACAGTTCCGGTGAATAATGTCGCTAAAATAATCTAAATACGGAATATCGTGAGGTACTGTTATATGGGGGCTATACGAAGACATGAACCTGCACAGAAAATTTTCTATCTAGGCTGTAGTACTCATTACGAATTTTAAACACCAAATTTGAAACAATTCCGGTAAATAATGTCGCTAAAATAATCAAAATGCCGAATAACGGGGGGTACCGATATATGATACGAAAACGTGAACCTGCACAGACAATTTTCGGTCTTGGCTGTAGTATTCATTACGAACTTCAAACACCAGAAGGAGTGGGTCGATATATTCCATCTTCACACCAGACCTTGGGTTAATGGAACTACTGCGATGTGTGTAATTTGAGGACAATCGGACTCTTGCATCACATTTTACAAGAGTTATAATAATTCAAAATTCCGGCCTTTTATCGGGGAGGTACTTGATGGATTGGACCGATATTATCCTTTTTCGCACATGACCTAGCACCGATGCAAATATTAGGATTTGCAAAGCTGAAGCAAAATTGGATTATCCGTTGTCTTTCTTTGCAATAAAATATTTTTTTTGAAAAATTCGACCTTTTTTTTTGGGGGGGGGGGGTTGAGGTACCGGAAGGAGAGGACCGACAATGCCCTCCGAACTCGATCGATGTTTGACAATAATATTACGATGTACCAAGTTTGGATCAAATATGATTCTCCCTTCTAGATAGACGGACATTGCTAGATCGACTCCAAATGTCCTGGTTGAAAGAGACCCGTTAAAACCCGATATTTCCATGAGGACGTATCAAATGATATACACCCTCTCAAGCCATAAGGCTGAGGGTATAAACATTCAATTCCGGCCCATTTTTGCAGTAATGTCGCATATAGAACTTTACCTCCTAATTTTCTGGTTGTTAATAATTCGAACTCATTTTCCACCCAAATTCAACTTTAGCTATTATCGGAAGGTACCGTTGTATGGGGGCTATACCAAAACGTGGATCTACATGACTCATTTGCAATACTAAATGTCGTGCAGACATAATGCACATTTGAGTAAAATTTTGTCAACCCACTTCATTTCGTTCGGAAGCTAGAGTGATTTCCACAGACGAACGGACATCGCACAATCGAGATAGAATTTTATGCTGATCAAGAATATATATATATATATATATATATATATATATATATATATATATATATATATATATATATATATATATATATATATATATATATATAATGTACCCTCCATACTATGGTGGAGGTTATATTTTATTTTTATTTTTGGTTTATTTAAAAAATGCCTAACAATATATATATATATATATATATATATATATATATATATATATATATATATATATATATATATATATATATATATATATATATATATATATAGAGAGAGAGAGAGAGAGAGAGATACAAATCTACACATGCCTGTGCACCATGCCGCCATAAATTCTAGGGGAGGTCATAAAACATGCGTAGCTATCTCACTTGTGGCAAGCAAACATGCTGCACTTCCTTATCAGTATGAGTTAAGATTTCATCCAGTAATCTAACTCAAACATACCACATGCAGCAATTGAATTATTTATTTCTAACTCAAAGGTCTGTTCACCACATTTTCTTATCTTATATAATATGGGCTGTATTAAAAAGATCCCTGTTTAACAAATCCCTCTCATCTACACTAGTTAGCCCCGCTATTCTCTTTTATTATAAAAACATGTTCACTTATCCGTGAACAAACCGATTTCGGATTAATTGTGCAATTAATGGCCAATATCAGTTCAAATGAACTGAATTTTGGAACGTCTGACCGAATTCAGTCTAGAAGCAAGGACGTCAAATTTGATTCAGATATAGCTATAGCTCTCATATATATGTTTGAGGTTTTAAGTCCCTCACATGCGTAATATGCACTCCACAAGAATGATATTTGGTACCGGACATGTAATGGCTTTTGTCATAAGTCATTACAATATTCAAATCCGAAACTTGAAAAAAAAAAAAAAAATCGGTGAATAAAGTTGCTAACATAATCAAAATACCGAATATAGATAGGCAGGTACCGTTATATTGAGGCTATACGAAGACGTGGACTTGCTTACGATTTTTTTTATCATAGGCTGTAGTATCCTTACGAACTTCACATACGAAATTTTAAACAGTTCCGGTGAATAATTTCGCTAAAATAATCAAAATACTGAATATAGGCAGGTACCGTTATATTGGGGCTATACGAAGACGTGAACCTGCACAGACAATTTTCTTTCTTAGGCTGTAGTATTCATTACGAATTTTAAACACCAAATTTGAAACAATTCCGGCGAATAATGTCGCTAAAATAATCAAAATACCGAATATCGGGAGGTACCGTTGTGTGGGGGCTATACGAAGACATGGATCTGGACAAACAATTTTCTGTCTTAGGCTGTAGTATTCATTACGAATTTTAAACACCAAATTTGAAACAATTTCGGTGAATAATGTCTCTAAAATAATTAAAATACCGAATATCGGCAGGTACCGTTATATGGGGGCTATACGAAAACGTGAACCTGCACAGACAATTTTCGGTCTTGGCTGTAATATTCATTACGAACTTCAAACACCAAGTTTGAAACAATTCCGGTGAATAATGTCGCTAAAATCATCAAATAACCGAATATCGGGAGGTACCGTCTTATGGGGGGTATACGAAAATGTGAAACTGCACAGACAATTTTCTGTCACAGGCTGTAGTATTCATTACGAACTTCAACCACCAAATTTGAAACAATTCCGGTGAAAATTTTCGCTAAAATCATCAAATAACCGAATATCGGGAGATACCGTTGTATGGGGACTATACCAAAACGTGGATCTACCTGACTCATTTCCAATACCAAATGTCTTGCAGACATACACATTAGTAAAATTTCATCAACCCACTTCATTTCGTTCGGAAGCTAGAGTGATTTCCAAAGACGGACGGACATCGGTAAATCGACATAGAATTTTATGCTGATCAAGAATATATATACATTATGGGGTCTAAAATGTATATTTCGAGGTTTTACAAACGGAATGACAATTTTAATATACCCTCCATACTATTGTGGAGGTTATATTTTATTTTTATTTTTGGTTTTATTTAAAAAATGCCTAACAATGGCCTAGTCAGCTGAGCTACTTAATCTACTTAAGAGGGGATCAATATAAAGCTAGTTCACAAGCAGAGATTTATCGTTAACAATAACATTACAAAGCACCACTTTATCATTCCTGACATCATTAAGATTTGTTACCCGGTTGTTAATGAATGCTTCATTCTTCTTTCTAAATCGTTGAGGGGAAGGGAAAACGTCAGCTAAAGTAGGGAAAATAAATTATTTATGGATTTATGCACCACGATAATTGTTTGTAATTGTTCCAAATTCTCCTCATTGCTTCAATTTTTACTGTCATCGCTCTCTCTCTCTCTCTCTTGGTGGGTCTAACAAAACAACATCTACTCAAGAAAATTAATCAACATCATTGTCATGGTGTAAAGTTAATTTGGTAATTGTAGACCCGTATTCACGGTCAGAGGTATAACCGAACCAATTGTTAGACCTTCGGTATTTTGGGTCATCATTAACATCATTTGTAACATTTTTCTCTGGTGTACGGATAGCCGGTACCAAATGATCTCTGTGTAGCATGAGTCGATAAAGCCATCGTTCTGGAAAACAGAAAAAAAATAACAGGCTTTAAAAAATATCATTTAAAAATAAATTGGTATTTCAATCAAGTCGTCAAAGAAAGAATCTCTCAATGAGGTCTTACAACTCACAAGAGATTACAAGAGATCTCAGAATCTTTGATGTAGAGTAGCTGGTCTCAGAAGCCACTACAGTAAAATAGCTGGCCTCAGGTGCTCCTAATGTAAAGTAGCTGACCTCTAGTGTAAAGGTCTCTACTGTAAAGTAACTGGTCTCAAGACCTTCTAATGTAAGGTAGGTTGCCTCAAAAACCTTTCTGGGTGGTAGCTTGCCTCAAAAACTTTTAAATTAGCTAACTTCAGAGACATCTATTTATGAGTAGCTGACAACAGATGCCTCCACTGCAGATTATCTGATCTCGAAGGCCAATGCTGTATAGTAGTAGACTTCAGAGGTCACTGCTTTAGATTAACTGCCTTTGAGCAATGCCTTAACTACTGTTGAGCAATGGATCTCAGAGGCTACCGCTGTGGAGTAGCTCGCCTCAGAGGCCACTGCTAGGGAGTAGTTGGCCTCAGATGCCACTGTTGTAGAACATCTGGCATCAGAGGCCATTGCTGCAGAGTTGTTACCCTCAGAGACCTCTATTGTAGACTAGCTGACCTCCTAGGCCACTGTTGTAGAGCAGCTGGCCACTTTTGTAGAGTAGTTGACCTCAAAGACCACTGCTGTAGAGTAGTTGATCTCAAAGGCCTAAAATGCAGAGTAACTGGCCGCAGAGGCAACTGCTGTTGAGTAGCTGGCCTCAGACCGCTCTAATGTAGAGTTGCTGACAGCAAAGACCCCAATGTAGAGTAGCAGACCTCAGAGCCCTCTACTGTAGAGTAACTGGCCTTAGATATCTCTATCGTAGAGTAGCTAGTCTCAGAGACCTCTACTGTAGAGTAGCAGACCTCAGAGCCCCATACTGTATAGTAGCTGGCCTCAAAGGCCACTGCTTTGGAGTAACTGGCCTCAGAGACCATTGCTGTGGAGTAACTGGCCTAAGAGGTCAGAGACCACTGCTGTAGAGTAGTTGACCTCAGAGGCCACTGCTGTAGAGTAGTTGACTTCAGAGACCAGTGCTGTAGAGTAGTTGACCTCAAAGGCCTCAACTGTAGAGAAACTGACCTCAGAGGCCACTGCTGTTGAGTAGTTGACTTCAAAGAGCTCTAATGTAGAGTAGGTGACAGCAGAGACCACAATGTGGAGTAGCAGACCTTAGAGTTCACTACTGTAGTGTAACTGGCCTTAGAGGCCACCGCTGTAGAGTAGCTGACCTCAGAGGCAACTACCATGGACAAGCTGGCCTCAGACATCAGGTGCAGTAGCACCTGGACTCAGAGAGCTTTTCTGTGGAGTAGTTGACCTCAGAGCCCACTAGTGTAGTGTAACTCAACTCAGAGGCCACTGTCATAGAGTACCTGTGCCAGAGGCCACTGCTGTAGATAAGCTGACCTAAGAGGCCACTGCCGTAGAGTATCTTGGCACTGAGGCCACTGCCGTACAGTAGCTGGGCACAGAGACCCCTGCCGTAGAATAGCTGACCTAAGAGACCACTGCCGTATAGTATCTTGGCACTGAGGCCACTGCCGTACAGTAGCTGGGCACAGAGACATCAGCTGTAGAGTAGCTGATCCCAAAGGCGATTGATTTCGATTGTATCAGAGGTCACTTTTGTAGAACGGCCCCTCTATTTCTTGAAAGCTTTGTATTGCTCGCTCTGTCTCTCTCTCTCTCTTTATTTCTCTCTTATTGTACAGCAACCTGACTTTTTTATATAAAGCTCCCTCTCTCTCTCTCTCTCTTATTAAGAGCATCGCTTGCCTTCTTTTGCTGTGGAGCAACATAACTTTTTTAGGAATCCTTTTATTTCTAGCTCTCCCACTCTCTCTCTCTCTCACTGAGAACATCGAGGATTTTTTAAATACTGTTTTTGCAATACTTACTGTTATTTCAACAATTGTTCCCAGACCACAGTACATGTACAACATTATGAAGCAGTAGGTGAGATAGGTGAGTCCTCCTGGCCATTTGCCCAAAATTAAACAGAAGAGTGTCGAGGCAATGCTCAGAGCCACTGTTCTCATTTCGACAAGCACAACCCAGAAGTAATTTTCTTTTACCGTAGTTATGTATCTGCAGACAAAAACTCAAACTAAATTAACTCTATCGAACTCCCAAATAGAAATTTGCTTACCTCATGTATTTTTGATGCCACTGAAAAATATCTTTTAGCAGTAATTCAATCTCTGCAAATCCTTCCTCTTCAGATGCCCGTTCTTCCTCAAGAATTTCATTTAAGTCCTGACATTTACACCTCAAGAGATCCCTGAACAGTGGGACATGACTGACAATGTTAAAAAAGCATACATCCGCTGCGAAATTTCCAAACGATCCGAACAGTATACAAATACAATGTATGGTGGTTATAATTGTATAACCATATGCCGTATTTGGATCCACTCCGGGGAATAGAAATTGCATTATAAGTATTCGCTCATTAAATACCACGCGATAGAATGGCACGACGGCAATCAGAGTTATGGTAATGACTAGATGCATAGTGGCCATAAATTTGATGAATCGGTTCACCCTGTTAATGTTCTTCTCCAGACAGCAACGGTAATCGGCATGTTTCAGATCATATTTCTCGTAGATGTCCCGCAACTCATAAATCAAATATCGTATATCGTCCTTGTTCCAGAGGAAATTCAAAAGTTTGCAATAGCCCTATGGGAAGAAGTTTTTTGTGCTCGATTCCAATTTTCTTTAATTCATCTCACTCACCTGCACAGCACTTCCCAAATAGCAGAGGACCTGTAATACACTCGGCCTATCTTTGTCAATATAAATCTTTACATAAAGGGTATAGCCAGTAAAGACAAAATATTGATAAATGAAAATGATCACAATCCAGGTGAGGATATTCTTTTTAAAGGCAGGATTAAAAATATTCGCACCACAAATACCCGAAAATATTCGAATTAAACGGACAATCGTTTCATAGCGTTGCACAAGGGTTTTGGCCATACTTCACGATTTTTGGAATTTTGTTCCGTCTTAGAAATCCGTTGCGAATTGATTTGAATCGTTGAATGGTATTACGGAAAATTTTGGTTAAATGGTGTGGCCTTACAACAAATTATTTCACCTGTCAAGCTCTCAGGCATTCCCGACACTTAGTTGCAAAGGTCTTACGAAAGAATTTTTAATCACCTGTCAGTTTTGACATCATAATTAACCAGGTTATTTTTGATTAACTTTAATCGGAAATAAACTGACGTTCAACCAAACTATAATGGAGTGAGCTAATGTTCTTCCTATAGATCTTACAGTATTCAAGTAATTCAAAAGTATTCAATTTATAGAAGACCTACGAAACTGCAGCAGTGTTCCTTGTGACCAACTACCTATCTGTAGTAACCACTGAGAATAAATTTTATTCAATAGAGACCTCTGCATCAACTACTTTTCAGAGGTGCAATAGAGGGCTTTTGAAGTACGTATTGCAAAAAAGTTATATATAGGCTGACGTTTTCGTCTAGCCCGCCATGTTACGGTACCTTTCGCAATTTCATATTTTTTAGCTTCAAGTGCAATTTTTCCACCAAAAAATGTTTGAAATTCAGTACTCCAAGTGTGGTGAAATTCATCCGGGCAAAAATTATCTATATGCGTCCTCGGTATGAGATTCAAGGTTGGAAAGTATTTTTGATATATAAATGTGGTTTTGGAAATGTGTGCGAACTGGACTAAATGGTACTAAATGATGAAACTGACATTTTGTATTATTTTTCCTGTTGGTGTTAGGTTTGCGATACAGAGGTGGTTATGGAAATGGACACGAAAAGTACTAAATAGTAATATATTTGGTACAGTTTGGTATTGAATGAACTGATACTGTTGTTCATATGTCTTAGATGTAGGTGGTTTCGGAAATGTGTACTATAATTGTATAAAAATACTGAATTGTACTATGTATATTTTGTATTGGTGAAGGGATAGAGATTAAATTCTGAAATTTGATATTAAGATTATTGATGGTATCTGTGTTTGGGATTTGGCGGTGGTTTAGAAATGCATCCTATATTTGTACGAAAATTAGTAAATGGTACTAAATTTGGTATTGGGTGAAGTGACAGGGCTGGAATCCAAAATTTTGATATTAAGGTCTCTGTTGGTATCTGGAAAAAAGATATGAAGCTGGTTTTAAAAATAGGCACGAAAAACAGTAAATATTACTATGTTTGGTACTATTTGGTATTGGGTGAACAGATAGTGCTTTAAATCTGAAAAGGTATTAGGGTCGCTGTTCATGTATACTATAGTACTAAGTGGTACTAAATTTGGTATTGGGTGGAAGGGATAGAACTAGAACCCCGAAATTGGATATGGATGCCACTGTGCGTGCCTGTGGTTGAGAGAAGGAGGCAGATTTGGATATGCGTACTATAATTGTACAAAATGGTACTAAATTGGATAATGGGGAAATTAAACAGCTGAAATCCTGAAATGTGGTATCAAGGTCACTGTTGAGGTTGTGATATGGAGGTTGTCTTGAAAACGTGTACTTTAATTCTGCGAAAATATCTAAATGGTACTAAATTTAGTATTGGTGGTATGGATAGAGCTGCAAGTCTGAAATTTGAAATGCATGTCACTATTGGTGTCTGTTGTTAAGACATGCAGGTGGTTTTAGAAATTCGTTAAAGTGTAAAATGCCACAAAATATGCCGTTGGGTGTTACGATAGAGATGGTATTCTGAAATTTAATATCAAGGTCACTGTTGGTGTCTTGGGTGGAGAGAAGAAGATGGTTTTTGGTTTGTGTAATATAACTGTGGTAATAAATTTGAGATAGGATAGAGCTGGAATTCTAAAATTTGATATGGAGGCCACAGTCGGTGTATGAGATATATCGGTCCACGTTGTGGTTTAGTCCCCATATAACGGTATTTTGATGATTTTTGCCACAATTTTTCACGGATTTGTCTGAAAATTGGTTTGAAAATGGTAATGGGTCCTAGTTTGTGTGGCGAAATATTGTATGTATTGGTCCACGCTTTGGTATAGCCCCCATATAACGGTTCCTCCCGATTTTTGGTATTTTTATGATATTTGCCACATTTTTTCACGGATTTCTCTAAAAATTGGTATTTGTTGGTCATAATGGTTTCTGGATGTATAGGTCCACGTTTTGGTATAGCTCCATATAACGGTACCTCCAGATATTCGATATTTTGATGTTGTTTTGCTACATTTTCCCACGAATATGTCTAAAATATGGGTTCTAATGTTTCCTTTACCCTAAGGTAGAGGGTATTCAAAATTCGGCCCGGCCGAAATTAATGTTTTTTTACTTTTTATTTGCTAAATTCCCGGTTCTTGGGTGCCGTGATTCCGCAATATTTTTCGAAACAATATATTTAGGAATACGTATACTTCTACTGTAACTACTCTTTATGCAAGTTAAAAAGTATCAGTCGATTTTGCCGACAGATGTATACCATCAGCCAATGTCCATATATTACATTTTATTTTAAATGCGTTGTGATTATTCAAAATTTTGACTTATTATGGGGTCAGTTCCGAAAGAGGGGTTTGGGGGTTGGTCAGTTCCGAAGGAAACATAAGAGTTGTGGACTATATAGACTATTGTCATTCTGTTTGCCTGAAATACGGGATAATTTTTGGAAAATGTTGAAATGTTCCAGAGGTACCTGATATAGTAGAATAGTTGAGATATACCGTTGTGGGGGGAGGCACCAGAAGAAGCAGGCCGATTTATCACAGTCAATCTTGTATTAGTATAAAAATTGCGATTTGTGAAGTTTAAAGAGAATTGAATGCTTATTTTGTGAGAGGTGTAATTATTCCAAAATGTTGACCTTTTGTGGGGGAGGTACCAGAAGAAGTGGTCTAATACATCCTATTTTCGCAACCAATCCTGTGCTAGTAGAAAAATTGGGATTTGTGAAATTTGAAGATAATTAGATGTTTATTTCGTTTTTATGGGAGATACAAGTATTTAAAATCTTGACCCACTATGGGATAGGTACTAAAAGGATTGGTCCAACCTATACCATAGTCACATCAGACGTAGAGTTCTTAGAAATATTGGGATATGCGATATATTTCAAAAGAATTGGACTCCTAATTCTCATTTTATAAATTGTATGATTATTCAAAATTTTGACACTTTGTGAGGGAGGTACTTAATGGAGGGGTCCGATATTGTCCACCGACCTATCGCTGATACAAATATCAGGGTTTTCTACAAAATTGGATGATCCCTTCTTGTTGTATAAGGCTAATTATTTTCTGTGAAAATGTTGACATTTTGTAGGGGAGGTACCCGAAAGAGTACAGCGATATTGCCCATCTCCGAGCTCGATCTAAGTTTGATAATAATATTACGATATGCCAAATTTGGACCAAATCAGACACTCACTTCAAGAGTTATCGTGCGCACCAGTTAGCCAGACATATGGTCCAAAACCGTTATTTTGACTAGGCATTTTTTGACCGTATGATATATACCCTCTCTAGCCATATGGCTGAGGGTATATAAAAATTTCTAATAGAAATAAAACCCTTAAACTCCCTACTATTTCCTAAAAGCCCATTGATATCACATTCCATTGCGTTATTTGGCACCGACTACCGACCGAATTGTTTTACATATCAGACAAACCATTTGGAAAACGTAAAGCCAACCAAACAAACAAAAAATCAGCAAAACCTTCACTCTACGACAGCAACAAATGTGATTACATTACGAAGGTAGGTATGTATGTAGGTGTAAACACACACCCCGGTTTACAGTTAGAATTCGAAGCGCAAAAGAATTGCTGCTTCAATGAAACCAAACGGAATTTCTTCATAACATACGACTATGCCTTCAAGTTAAGCGTTTCGTTCAGGTTTTTTTGCCTTTTTTGCTGTGCGACGCCTGTCTATATCGGACGTCCTTTCAACACAAATACCATTAAGATGGTCATACTTTGAAGAGTCACTAATACAACAACAGCAACTACGCTTGCAATTGCATTTCACTGCTTTTAATGGAGGGGCTCTTCGAAAATATGTGTTGGATATACTGAAGTGTAGTAGTGACTGGCTGGCATGGATGACATGACATAGAAATATAGCTACTGGCAAATATGACAGTTCGATATGAAGACTATGTGACAATGGATTAGGACACAGTGGGAAGTAGAGCTTATAAAACATCCACAGTTAATTCAATGAGTTGTGTGCATATCCAACGAAAAATGTTTACCTCGTGGACAATCGGTAATTCTAAGGTTGATATTCAGAGGATGAACGATTTGTGGATAATCGGGAACTGTGATGTAGTGATGTCGGGTTGTTATTGAAGTATGATTAGCCAGGGAAACTATTCAGTTTGCCGACGATTCAAAGGTGATCAGGAAGTGATATATGATCGTCGGATGTTGACCGGTGAGCGATATCAGAATTTACAATGTTTGCCTTCCGAATTGATGCCAGCGTTCGGGACATTACGATTTGGAGATAATTGGGAACTTTGATTTATGGTTCGGATGTCGATGGGATGGCATCAGGAATTACGATGTTGGTGTTCGGAATGATGTCGGCGTTGGAGACGTTGAAGATAATAGGGAACTTCGATGAATGGTCGTCGTGCCACAAAATACAATTTTTTCCAATAATTATGGAGAAAATCCAGCATATTATGAAAGAAGACATATATATCGACGTTTTGAAACGTCAAGAGTCTAAATACAAAACATAATTTTAGAGGGATGACTTCAATGACAAAAATATTCTTCATCAAATTTTACTATTCTCTATTTCCACAGTACATTTAAAAAAATGCTTCAAGATTTTGATCAATTTTACTTTGGACACTTTTCGACTTGACGTCTAAAGGTGAAATAATTTTTTTTTAGGCGGAAGAAATTATTCTACACAAAATATCACCATAGATCTCAGAGCCAAATATACATATAGGATTCTGAAGAATCTTAATACGAAAATTTCCAAATGTTTGGAAGTGTGTGTGTGAGGGGAGTGGTTAACTTAACCCCTCTATTATGGTTACTTTTCGATGTAATCTTTCAAAACGCCGATACGCGTGCCTTAATTTTTTTAAGCTACTTCCATTATC